ACTGCAGTCACGGCTGTGCTCGATTCCCTCTATGACATTTGCTTTTCCGACGTGTGCACGCCGCCCTCCTCGCAACAGCAGCAGCAGCAGCGAGCTGTTGTGCTGTTTGCGTGGGTGTGTGCGGCGAAGGGGCTGCGGCACCGCGTCACGGCGTTGCTCCTCGACCTGTGTCTCCGCGCCTACACAACTCGGCCCGCCCTTGCGGCCAGCTGCCTCTTGGCGTGGCTCACCGCACCACCACCAACATCAACATCAACATCAACATCAACATCGCTCCCGGCGGCCTCATCACTGACGGTGTCATCCGTTGTCGTGAATGCTCGTGGCGGTGGCACGCCACACGCCAATCACCATCACCCTCACCAGCAGCACCCGTTTGCAGAGGGCGAGCACGTGCTGGTTGCCTGTCTCAACATTGTACTGTCGGACCTCGCTCAGCAGAAGAAGACGAAGCAGCCACCGACAACAACAACAGCTGCTGCTGCTGCTACTGACTGCGCTCTAGCCGACCGCTGCCTGGGGCATCCTCGCTGGCGGGCGGCGTGCACGCGTGCAGCCGCGGTGCTGACCCGTGCTTGTGTGCAGTCCCCACATGCGCTTGTGCAGCACGTGTACGCCCGCTGCCTAGCTGCACGTGCTGGTGCTGGTGCCGGTATGATGCAGGTGGATGTGCTTCGCCACGCCGCCTTTGTTGCTGGTGTGGACATGTGTGACGCAGCTGTGATTGGCAAGCTGACGGCAGCACAAGACAGCACGCGTGGCCTCAGATCGCTGTTTGTGTACGGGCTGCGGGTGCTCTGTGTTCACTTTGGGTTTGAGTTTGCATACGAGCACGTGCTTGGGGATGCGTTCTGGCAGCTGGCGGAGCAAGCAAGCGCGCCGGCATCAGCATCGTGGTTTGGCGTGGCTGTTGTCGAGCTGCTTGGGTTTGCGGTGCGCATGTGCCATGAGCAGTACCCTGACAAGGCGACGCGCCCACCCGACATTGACCAGGTGTACCAGTACCTGTTGTCGCAGGTTGGCGCGCTCGTGTCTGCGCTGCCGCCACGCGTCAACACGGCGACGGCGACGGCCGCGGCCCGCTGCTGCTCTCATGTGCACACGCGCACCCCGTGGTCTTCCCTTCAGCAGTTTGCAGCCATCATCTCCTCGCAGTAGAGAGAGAGAGAGAGGCAGAGAGGGAGAGAGAGAGAGAGTGTGTGTGTGTGTGTGTGTGTGTGTGTGTGTGTGTGTGTGTGTCGTGCGCGAACACCTTTGGTGGCACAAGACTTTGGCATTATTATTTATCCTGTGCTGTGGCCGGCAATGTATTTCGGTGTTGCTATCACTGCTGCTGCTGCCCTTGTTGCTGCTGCCCTTGTTTGTGACGCGCGCCAGACACTCCTCCTCCTCCTCCTCTTCCCCACAGCGCACCCCCCCCCCCACACACACACGCGCTTATTCCACACTCTTCTTCACCACCACCTTGACTAGCAACGACGTTATTGCCTGTGTGCGCCCGTGCTTGTGCGTTTACTTTCGATAACTGCCTGCGGTGCGGCTTACCCACGCGCTTGCTTGCATGCTTCTGGAGCCGCCACGATTAGATGACCAAGCAAACACCATCTTGGCGACACACGCGCAGGCAACAAGCCATACCCACCAGCCACCCACTATCAACACCAACCGATGACAACAGCACCCCAATCCCCTTGTTTGTACACGCGTGACTGCCTGGCCTTGTGCTCTGCCGGCCTCGCTTGCACCCATCAGTCACAGCTGCCGTCCTTCCACCCCTGTTGCGTGTGCGCGTGAATGTGTTTGTGACGAGCGAGCGCAGAGGAGGCAAGGTTGAGACGATTTGAGCAGATGCGTCGGCAAGGACGACAACTGAGAAGTGTTGTTGTGCATGTAGACGATATGAGCTGGTGTTATGACATGGGGCTGTTTTGACATACGCACATCACGCCAGCGCTCATCCACTTTGCTGCAGTCGAAGGCTGGCTTCCCGAGCCGCACGTTCACTGCATTGTGGGCCCTGAGACGGAAGCGCGGATGGACGACGTGATGAGTGCAAATGGGAGTGGAACAGCGCTGTATTGAGATGCATTGCGGCAAACGCAGCAACAGTGGGGCCGGCTCGGGGAAGAAGGCTCACGAGAAGTGAGGCAGAGGCATGCAGCGGCGTCAACGCAAGGTAGCACGGTGGCAACAATGTGGTGGCCGACAACATGCTTGGCACTACACGTACTTGCACATCCACTGGGCAAACGCTGAGCGGCTGGTTGTATCTGGTGGATCCTTCTGAATGTACTCCCTGGCAAAGAAACAAGAGCGTGCGTATGTGTGTTGTGTGTTGTGTGTGTGTGTGTGTGTGTGTGTGTGTGTGTGTGTGTGTGTGTGTGTGTGTTTGTGTGTGAGGGAGAGAGAGCAAGCAACAATGAGAGATGGGGTGCCCTCACACACACACACGCACACGAGTCAGGCACACGAGTCACACACACACACACACACACACACACACACACACACACACACACACACACACACACACACACACACACACCCAAAGTCATCGGCACACTCGCGACAAGGGTAGAAGCGGGACAAGAGCCGCATCATTTCCTTCATGTCGCGTTGGTCCGTGTCGGTCGGTGTATCGGGGTAGTACGCAGCCATGGTGTGCAGCAAGCTCCATGACTTGCGCCCCAGCGTAAACGAGTCCTCTGGGCACTCCACCTCGCCCGTGACAACGTCTCGTGTCGGTGTCGGCATGTGTTGCGGCGCAGGCGTCGCTGACGACGATGACGCTGTTGCCTGCGGGTGCCGCTGCGCTGGTGCTTGCTGTTGTTCCCCCTGACTCGCGTCCCGTCCCCGCTCCTTGTGCTGCTGCCGTTGTTGCTGGTGTGGCTGAGAGTGTGGCTGGCCTTGCTTCTGTGCTGCAAACGACTGGTACATCTCGCCAAAGCCGGAGCACACCCGGCACGGCTTCCCGGGCTTGCCTGTCGGCTGCTGCTGCTGTTGTTGCTGGTGGGTCGCGTCACTCATCTTGCAGTGTCTTGCTTGCTTGCGTTGTTGTCGTCATCCGTTGTGTACAACAACAATTTGCAACACGTGGTGCGTGTTTGTGAGTGTTTGTGAGTGAGTGTGTGAGTGTTTGTGTGTTTTTGTGTGAGTGTGAGTGTGTGTGTGTGTGTGTGTTTCCCTGACTGTCAACGTATGCGTGCGCACGCTCCCATTGCTTGGTTCTCCCTGTGATTGCCAGAACCATCTCACCGAAGCCCACCTCGAGCGACTGACCCCTCCCCCCCCCATCCCTCGCCCGCCAACACGCACAGAGCCTTCTCGACGGTATGAAGGTGATGGTGTAAAAAAGACTGCTGCACCTGACGACTAAGCGCAAGAAAGAAAAGGGGGAGGAGGAAAGGAAGGAGAAAAAGAGGACAAAGGGCAACGAGGTTGACATCACATCACCCAGTACCGTTCCATCATCTACAAAAACAGCAACAACAGCAACGACAACAGCAACAACAGCAACAACAGCGCGCCCGTGGGGCCGAACCAACAGCAATCAACACCGCCGTGCCCACACGTGTACACCAACCGACAGCAACACAACACAAAGAGAGGCCAGATGCACGTGCTGCCATGCGAGACGACAGCGCAACCGTGTCGCCACATGGCAAGTGGTGACCGACACAAAATGGCTGGACAATGAATGAATGGAGACGAGGATGATGATAATCACCCGATATGAACGTACACGCACGCGCTTGAGAAGCAGCGACAGGGGAATGACCCGGCTGTCGTCGTCAGCAAGACGGAGCGAGCGTGTTGCACAAGGCGACAGCACGCATATTCACACACATGCACACAAACACACAAGCAAACAAACAGGCACACTACGAGGTACACCGACGCACTCCAACGACGACGACGACGACAACACAGAGGGAATCAAAGCAAACGATGAAGCAAACCAGTCATGTCTGTTGAAAAGGAATCAGAGCACTGTAGGAAAGTGGGTGTAATGCAAACGGGGTAGAAAGGAGGCAGGCCATGTGCTTGCTGCAAATGGCGCACAGAGGAAGGGGGACAAAGATGGAGGGGAGTGATCAGAGAAGAAGGCAGCCACCCCTCTTGCGTGGCCGGATGGTCAAGCTCGCGCGTGTCGCCGTCTCAAACACCTCCCGCACGTTCTCCTGCCGTGGCGATGATGGATAAATAGTACGTGAGCACCGCGCGTGAATATACGAGGAAAGATCGGGGAAGAAAGGCAAAAAAGTGATGACAACAAAGGGTGCAGGGAGGCGCATTGAAGAGTCGGGCAAGGAAGCCAATCACAAAACAGATAACACCGTGAGCAACAAGGTGCTGACCTTTGACTTGGCCGAGCACTCAATGTATGCGTAGGCCTGGATCTTGTCGCAGCACTGTTGCGCCTGCTCGTACGAGACGGGCTTCTGCTTCATCTTGGCAAGCTCCTTCTTCGTGTTGGGGTCGTTGCGCAGATCCTTCTTGCAGCCGACGAGCACAAACGGCACGCCGGGGCAGAAGTGCCGTACCTCGGGTACCCACTGGGGTGGAGAAAGAAGCGGGGGCGGGGTCAGGGGGGAGGGAGTGAAGAGTATGGTGAGACATTGCATGAGGATGAGAGGATGAATGGAAAAGGGCAAGGTGCGTGTCACCTTTTGCCCAGTCATCTTGTCTTGCCCACCATGCATTCATGCACGCACGCAAAACACAGGGCGCACACACTGAAGCATGCTCGACCACACGCACACACACACACAAAAAAATACTCGCGCACAATTAACACACACACACACACAACAGCACACACACACACAACAGCACACACACACACACACACACAAAAGCACACAAAAGCACACACAGGGCACCTTCTCTGGGACGTTCTCGAGGGAGTCTGGGTTGTCAATGGCAAAGCAGATGAGGAGCACGTTTGTGTCGGGGTACGACAGAGGGCGCAGGCGGTCGTAATCCTCCTGGCCTGAACA